AATCATTAAAAAAAATGAAAAAATTTTTTTTAATCATAACAAATATTTCTTTTTTAAATTTCACCCATTTTTAAAACAATTTTTAACAAATAATTTTTTTTTTTTAAAAATTAAAATTAAAAAAACAATATTGATAGAATTATAGATTTATAATAGAAAATAGACATCTATTTTTTATTTAATCTTTTATACTAAAATAGTAGTATCAATAAATCACATATCGTGAATGGAAAGACTTTATTTTCAAATGTATCAAATCGTTTAAAATTAATTTTGCTAATCTAAAGCAAAAAAGGGAATTTTTAAACATGATAGTATATTTGTAAACCTATTAAACTATGTTAAGTAGAATTTAAATCTACTCTTTAGATAAAATCACAAAATCTTCCATTTTGAGTAACATCACAAATAACCTGTCTTTATTAGATTCTTAATGTAAATAGATTCTCTTGTTTAGTATAATTTAATTAATGAGAATTATTATTTATAGAATTAATTTGAAGAATATATACTCCTACACATTACTAAGTTTGGTTTCTATTTCTCATAACTATTATTAAAAAATAATTTATAGAAATTAGGACTTGAATTTTAAAATTTTGTTAGAGATTATTTCATAGAATTATTCTAACCTAAAAATGACTATAAGATTTTACAAAATCCCTCCTTAAAATGAAAATTACAGTATATATTTTTAAGGAAGGTGAAAAATTCAATAATTAAAAAAAATTAACCAAACCATATTGCATTCATTAAAAGCATTAGTGTTATTGATTAACAGCCGTTAGTTTGCAGAAGGAAATTATTTATGGGAGTATTAGCATGCCTATACTATTGATGAACAAAATTCTAATTAATATATTCAACGGAATTTATAAAAGGAATTAGTGGATAATTAATTTAAAATTATAGGGTATTAACTTAAGAAACATCTTCAATATTAATTAAACAATACTCTAAACTTATAAACTTAGGATTTATAACAATAAATGATTTGTTTTCAGAATGCTATCAAAGTATATCAATAAACTTAAACATTAGATAGTGATGCATGAAAAGACATAAGAGTTAATCTCATTTTATCAAAAGAGGCTGATTAATTAGATTGAGGTAAACAACTATATAGTAAGATAATATTAAGTTGCAATTTAATTAGGTTTCAGCCCTATAAATTAAATTATTAAACATTTTGATAGTATAAAACCTATTTTAGCTTTCTAAAATGATCAATCGAGGGTAACGCTGGGGAAATTAATTAAAAATGTTGAAGAAAATGATGTTATTTTCCATTCTAGTTTTTCAGGTTCAGACGAAAGTATAGTTGTTAACAAAATTGAAGAATTTATTGGAAATCGTTATGCACTTCCAAAATTGAAGAATAAAAAGTACATATATTCGATTCTTCTTGTATTGAAATTATATTACATATAAAATCATCTGATCATAACTAAATTTTTTAGTTTTCATATGAACCAAAGTCTTTAGCAACATTTTAAGAAAAGCCCATATTTGAAATAAATGAACTTAGATATTTTAGGCTTGAATTTGATGTTTGAAAAATGAGAAATCACCCAATTAATAAGTTTGAGTTTTATTGTGAAAATCAAGTAGAAAAGGAATTTCAATAAACTAATTTTAATAATCAATATGTGAAAAAACATTTTGATCAAAAGGCATCTTTAAATTTATAATAATATATGAAGTCTTAATTCAAACAACTTATTTCTTGATCTTTCCTCTGGCAATAATGAGTTTTTTAACCTTTTAAAATTCCTTTCTAGATTATTTTTACTAATTTTTTATTTTTTTATAACAATATTTAAGAATATTGGTTTTAGAGATTTGTTAGAATAAAATCGAGTTTGTGAATATTTTTTGTTTATCTATCGTACAATTCTCTGTTTCATAAATAACATTTTGTTCCAAATAAGAGTGCTATTAAAAATATTCAACCTTTTTTTATTAAAGTATTGTGATCCAATTATTACTTTTATTTCTCGAGCCAATATTTTTTGGATGATGCTCTATTTTGCTTAATAAACCACATCTACATTTACTAACTCTTATTTTTAATTAAAGAATTCTTCTGTTATAAATTATTATCTTATAGAGTACAAAAGATTATAAACTTCAAAGCTAATTGAAATTATATATAAATGTTGCATAAATCTATTCATTAAAGTTTAATGAATATATAGGATTTACGTTTGATTTACATTAAATAGACTATGACTAATAATTTAATCAAATTAAATATGGTGTGTATGAAAGGAAAAGGAACTATAAATTTACTTTGCTATTGAAAATATTAATTCCAAACATTTATAAAAATTAAGAAGAATTAGATTTAAGAGTTTCTTGCAGAGTTGAGTTGATAAAGTAGATTTATTAGTTTAATTATTGAAAGGCTAAAGTTTTAACTTTTATTAGTTTATAATCCAAAAATTAATTTATGATGAAATGTAATTCTGATAGTTAAATAAGCGAAAAAAAAAATATTTTTATATTGATGTTAAAACCAAGGTAATTTCAAATTCTTGAATTTGAATTATTACAAGAGGCTTTTTATCAAAAAATCATAGTTTTTTGTTTAATCATAAAATTACCAAGTATAGATAGCACATATTAAATCTTAAAGAGTTCTATGAACATACATTATTGTCATTGAGAATATGTATTAATTTTTAATAATATTTAATTATCAATCAATATTATTATTTTGTATTTCGATTAAGATTAATATAAGCAAGGGAATAATTTTTTTGATATTAATTATTATTTTAATTAAGATTTTTTATGGATTAATAAAATACAATTTCACGTTGTCTAGATCATAATGAATTTATTACCTTTCTTGCAAGATCTAAATTCGATTAAAAGATAGTCAAACTTTGTCATAAGTGTGTGGTTGAAAAAAAGAAGGATTTAGTTTTAATAGATGATGCCAAGAAATATCTTTAAGAAACAAAGTTAGGAATACTAGAGGAAAGAGAGTCCTTAAACAAGCAGAATGTAGGAATTTTGAATGATTTAAAATAAAACTTGGAAAATCTTTCTTTGAACTTCAATCTATAAATTGATAAAATTAAGGAGAATATAGGCTCCGGAGTCAAGCTCATAGAGACATTCTCAAAGTAATTCTAGAAAGTTTTAACTGAAATTTCATTCGATCAAGTAGAGAATGTAGATTTAGATAAAAGTTCAATTATTGGACAATAAGTTAATTATTAAGAATTAAAATAATCAATTATAAGTTAAATTGGTAATCTATTCAAATGGACAACTGTTGTAAAAATGTTAACTATTAGTATCAAGTTTAAATGTTGGCGAGTAGAGTGAAGCTTTGAATTAATTATTTAATATTGGGTCTTTTATTGATTAATAGACATAGATAAAAGCAGATTGGATATGTGATAAGCACGAACAAGGAATAGTTTTCGTTGATTTATCCGAATAAAAAAGCATTCAAAATAGATTAGCTTGTCTTGAATGTATTCCTGAATATGTTATTTAATACACCAATTTAGGACAATTGCAAAAGATGTGGTAGAAGCATACTGAACAGGCTTTGACATTCTTTAATGTTTATTAAAGCAATACTTCGAGTAAACAGTCTCAAGTAATTCTTTAACTCAAAGAGTTTAGAGAAGTAATTTTGAAGTTATTTGAGTAATTAATTGAATCAATTTAGATCAAAGTTTAAATAGAAAATAATGATCTCCAATATCATCATAAGTTACTTTAAAAAACATGGCAATCGTTAAGGAAAGAAGATCTAATTAATATTGTTGATCTTCTGAGTTCATAAAATAGATTAGCTCTAGTTAATCGCATGATAGAATAAGAATTTTAATCCAAAGATTAAGCTATTGATTCAATCATTTGTTCTCAAATGCAGCAACTCTAAAATTTAATAAACTCTACTTTTCCATAACTTATTACATCCACCGTTAAGTCATTCATTTCAAATCAAAACCTTAATTAAAATAAGATTGATGTTGAAACATAAATTTAATAATCCTTATCCTTGTAATCTTAAATCATCACCCTTCATTTATAACTTCATAAGGAAATCATTTTACCTTAAATTTCCAAACCATTTTCTTTTGAAGTAGTCTCCTAAATATCAGAAAGTACTACATGTTAAGCATTTGCACTTAATAATGACTCATCAATTTTAATTGCTGGGTAAGATAGTGGATCAATAAAGGTTTTTGAATTCAATTTTGGATAATTAAGAGAAATTCAATTACTTAAAGAGCATTCAAGTAATATTCGACGTTTATATTTCATGTAAAAGGCTTCTTCACCCTTATCTGCTGGTGATGATAATCAAATAATACTCTGGAAGGTGAATAATCAGAAATAATGGTAGAGTCACAAAAAATTAGAAGGTCACACAGGTACAGTTAGTTGTTTAATTATGAACAATTAAGAAGACCTTATCATATCTGGTAGTAATGATAAAACTATTAACTTTTGGGTTTAAGAGAATTAATAATGGAAATGCAATTAGACAATATCAGATCATACAAACTATGTTAGGTGTTTATCATTGAATGTATTAGAGAATATGCTGATATCATGTGGCAAAGATAATTTACTCTTAATCATCTTATAAGACAATAATAAAAGATGGAGTACAATCTAAAAGATATCAACTGAAAGGTGTGGCTATAGTTTATGTTTCATAACTGATTAGATGTTTACATTTTAACAGGAAACAATAAATATAATGCATATCTATCAATTAAATACAACAAGTTAATAATTTATTAAAATGGAATAGGAAGTAAGCATTAAATCAGATTAAAATTGTTCAGCTTTTTTCCCTTAAAAATTTGTAAAGGAAAAGTAAATTCTGCTAAATAAAAATGGAAAAAATGTAAATTTAATTAGACTTCATAGGAATGGTTAATTCAAAACAGAATAATCTATATAGAATAGCATTTGTTGTGGACTATTTGGTACTATTTCAAATGATGGAAGTTATTTAGTCACATTTGAGAGTGATAATAAGGTGATAAAAGTAAGAAAATATAGAGAGAATTGATTTTTGTATATCAAATTTAACAAAATTCGTTTTTGATATTATGAAAATATGTTATAAATTGTATGAGGTAATTCATCTAATGGATCAATATATATCTTTCAAAATAACCAAAAAGATTGCTTGATAAATTAATTAATGGATTCATGATGAACAAAATTTATCCAACTTATTTTAAATTTATATTATAATTATATAAAAGATTTTCTAAGATTTGATATTATTGAATTCACTTTTCATCCTTCTCATAATAAAATAAAAATAGATTACTCATAGTTATATTATACATATTTTGAATTTATAATATAAAAATATTGATATTAAGTTGATATCAACCCATTCTCAATCTGTGAATTTATCTATTTTTATTACAGGCAATTAAAGTGATCATTTAATTCATTTGGGCCACCTATCGATAAATAATACTATATTATTTTATCATTCTCCTCCACTC